AAATTAGCATACAGTTTGCACAGTTTGTCTTTAAGGCAGGACTTTTGTACGTGCATGTGTGTGTTTTGCAACAGGATCCACAGAACTGCCCCTCTGGGTGTGGTCTTAATGTGCCTGAGCAGGGTGTGTAGGTGCGGGTGCACATTGTCTGCCTCCCGCTGTTTTGCCACCTCCAACACAGCCCCATATAGCACATAGCCCCTATAAAGCAAGGGGCAGAGGAGGGCTCGATCCCCCCTCCCCAGCCCACCCAGGGCCTGTTTCAGCTGCAGGCTGCCTGTCCAGTCACTGGAGGGAAAAGGGAGCCAAAGCTCTTTGATGCAGCACTTCTTTGATGCTGCAGAGCAGAGGTGTCGAACTCATCTCTTACGAGGGCCAGATCTGACATACATGTCGCTTTGTTGGGCCTGACCATATGTGCCTTAAAGCATAAGGCAGGGTACCAGAAGATAATACACTGTATAAAGGACAGCAGCTGGTAAGCTCTGAGTTGGTGTATCCTTACTGCAAGGCCTCATGGGCCGGGAGGAGGGTGCAAAGGAAAACTCATATGGACGGACTGGAGAGCCAGTGGTGCAGCCCTGGGCAGATGCTCTCATAATGCTTGACCTGCAGCAGATGAGGTGGTTCCGCCATGCTGAAGCCACAATCAGAATGGGTCTGCCCACTCCCCTCCCCAAGCAATCTCCTGTTCCCTACCTGGCACTGGTTGCTTGTGGGCCGCATAAGAGCCCTGGACGGGCCGGTTCCAGTCCCCGGGCCTTATGTTTGACACCCCTGCTGTACAGGTTTGGTGGCAGCCTTTCTCTCCAGATCAAGAATGGATGTATCAATGCCCAGTCCTGTTCACACAGTCAGACTTCTCCCTTCTTTACCCAGATGAAAAGGTGGAGAAAGCTTGCTTGGGAGTCTGCCTGAAGGGTGCTCTATAAAGCTTGTGTGAGGGTGACTGATTCATGCGAAATCATTGTAAGCAGTTCCTGTAGCATCCTTTCCCTGTTTAGCCTGCAGAGGATCAGTTCTGTTATATCTTAGGGGGAATGCAGGGGTGAAAGGCAGGACCAAGCTGTAAACGGTTAATTTTTTGGCTTTGGACATCCTTCAGAATAGCATGTGTGCGGTGAAGCTGGATGCACCTGGTGTGTGTGTGTGTGGGGGGGTAGTTCTTGGCAGCACCTTATTTGATGGCCAAGTTCCTGGTCGGGCACAAATTGAAATTTTTTTCATAGTGGTGGCTCAGGTCAGATACTGACTCAGCCCTTTGATCTGGAAGTTCTGGGCCCTGAAACAGGGGCCTTCCACATGCAAAATAGGGGCTGTGCAGTTGTCCCTTTGCTAAGACTTAATGTTTTCCTGCAGGTAGAGGATGCCCTCTCCTACCTGGACCAGGTGAAGATCCGCTTTGGCAGTGACCCGGCCACCTACAACGGATTCTTGGAAATTATGAAAGAGTTCAAGAGTCAAAGGTAATGTGATGGAAGGGGAGCCCCTCTTTCCGACTGTGCAGAAAGCCTTCAATGTTTGTTGGCAAATTTCTAGAATGGGAGGGAGGGAACGAAGAGATGTTGGGTGGGGGGGGGCAGAATGCAATCAGGGTACCTTTGCTTAACCACCCAGGGTGGCCAGGCAGGAGACTTGGCTTCTGGGGCTCTTCTGGACGCCCTCCAATGCTCCCTCTAAGCTGTGGAGTCCTGTGATCAAAAATTCTACTTTGTGAGCTGCTGGCATTAAAGTTGCGGGCGAGCGATTTGGCTGCTGCGTAAATCAGTTTGCTCTGGAGCCATGAGCCGGAGACTAATAAAATCGTGACACTAACTCATCTTAGAGGGAACACTGGCGCCCTCCCCTATGCCACCCGTGGTTCAGCGCCTAGCTTACCCTCAGTTGCCTCCTTTCACTTGCAGCATCGACACCCCCGGCGTCATCCGGCGTGTCTCTCAGCTATTCCATGAGCATCCTGACCTCATTGTGGGCTTCAATGCTTTCCTGCCTTTGGGTTACAGAATAGAGATTCCAAAGAATGGGAAGCTCAGCATCCAGTCCCCTCTGGCTGGCCAGGTACAAAGAAGGAGTCAGTTTTGCTTAGATTAATCCCCGGGAGGGTGGGGGGTGGGGATTCCTTCAGGGGCGGCACTTGGAATCATTGTGATGCTTTCTGGGTTGGTGGCCGGGGGAATGTCCTGTTGGAACGGAGTCCTGACGTTAACCTGAGGTCTGAGTGCTGCTGCTTGGACAGGTCTCCTCTAAGGTCAGCAGCGAGGAGCCA